TGTTATTCACGCTCTTATAATTTCATATAACATATCAAGTATTCTAAAATAAAATAAAGGCATTGTCATATATAGATTAGTACTATTTTAAAATAAGGCCACTTAGATAGTTGCTTTAACCAACTTCATGGTATCCTACCAATTAAGCATACGCACATGACTTTTTATTTAAATAGTATTATAATATTATAATAATTATATTAAACTCAACCTAAAAAGGACAATGACATGTGTACGATACAAAGACACTAAAATTATGTATTAACGAAAAGTTACACTAAAATTAATTCCTTAAAAATAAGAAAAATAATATTTTTTTTTTATTAAAAGAAGAGAAAACAACTTTTATAGTTAGTATTTCACTTTTTGAAAAAAATGAGAAAAATATATTTCTATTAGAAGTGGAGAATTTATTTTTATAATTAATATATCCAATCCCACCCCAACTCATAATAACTCACACCCACCACCAATAGTATTTTCTTAAATCCTCTATAAATATTTTGAATTAATAATTTCTACACTTTAACTAATTAAATATGAAAAGTTAATTATGAAATTAGAATTGTCATATTTTTCAAGGAAATAATTTTTCTAGAGAAATATTCAGTCGTACCAAGCGCACCCTAACTAGGATAAAATAAGAATTTACCTATTAATTTATAACTAAAAATAAATACGTGTATTTTTTTTAATTGCCGTTAAGAAAAAAAGAAAATATCATATAAAATTTGACAAAAGAGAGTAGTATACATATAATTAATTTCAAATTAATGCTTATTATCATAATGTATCAGTGAAGGAAACGATATTTAACATTGATAACAATTTTATGTGTTACTTTTGGAACCTTAATCTCTCTCGACATAAAAAAAAAAGTTATTTATTTATTTTTTATTTTTTCATTCTTTTTAAAATTCAATAATAAAAATAAATAAATAAAAATTTGATTATGTGACTATCGAATAACGTAATTATACATAGACTGAATAGAAGAGAATATTTTGTTTTAACCAACAATATTAAGCACTCCAAGAAACAAAATAATAATTTATAATAATACTCCCTCTATTCTAAATAAGTATCGCTCCAATTCATTTTAACAATAATTAAAAATATCAACAATGTAAGGTACGTATAATTTACTAATTAATTATTCTTCTTTATTAAAATGTTTTTTGAGAATTAAACGTATTATTAAAAAGCAATAATTCTTTAATATAAGAATATAATTAAAAATAATTATTACTATTTTAATCCTGAATCTCTAAAATAACACTTATTAAACTATAAACTTATTTTATTAAAACGACATCTATTATAGAACGGATTAAAAGAAATAGTAAAATATAAAACTTTGTATTTTCTTAGAGATTCACGGGGTACATATAATATACCTACCAATGTGATACATGTAAGCAAATTCCAAAGTCCCAAAGCAGATAAATTTTAATTTCCAATATAAAATTTTCCATATTTTTTTATATAAAATATATAAAAAAAAACAAAGTTTTCCATTTAGCCACCCCAAATAATTCTGAACTACTTATATATGTATTTGGTCTCACTTTGCTATTTTGGATGATGTTATTTTTGATAGTCATGCGTTATTAAAAATATTATAATTTCTCTGTTCTATATTAATTATTTACGTCAGTAAAAATATCATAACTTACTTGTCATTTTTATAAAATATTTTAATTGAACTTTTCCTTCACTTTAACAATTATTTTTTAAAAAGGTCTAAACAAGTTCAGTAAAATATTAAAAGAGTATTTTAAAAGGTAATTAAGTAAAATCTTTTTATTTAAAATTTGCTAAAGAACATATAAAAAAAATATGGACAATTAATACAAAAAGGAAAGAATAGAATGTATTTCGTAAATTTAATACACATTCAAACAGTGTCATACACCACACGACAACAAGGGGTTGTTTGGTACAAAGATCAATAATGCAGGAATTGATAATGCATGGATTAATAATACAGGGATTGGTAATGCAGGGATTATTATTATCAAGTGTTTGGTTCATTGTTTTTTAACTAGTTTTGTGTGTGGTTTAAAGCTCTAGAAAAATGTTCTTTCCAATTATACCCTTGAGTTGTTATGGGATTTTTGTATTTCATGTAATTGGGTCAAGGTAGATAATTGACGAATAATATTATTTTTTCATAGCATTTTTAACTAGATAGGAGAATAAAACTTTATTATCATATTCATTACGTTCTCACTTAAATTATTTGAGAGTAAATAATTGTCATCTATAAATTGGAGTTAATATCTCAAAATGTCACACAACTATAATAATATATAGGAAAAATTTATTGAACTTCGTTTTGTATCAATAAATCATTTTAACAAACTCTTTATCATATAATAAAATAAAAATAAACAATAGATATAGCAAAATTAATTAAACTATTTTTATGATCGAGATGTTTTATTTATATGTATATGCTCTTGTTTTAGACTACTTGTGTAATGTTTAAGAAACTTCCATTAAGAGACAATATTTGACTTATGAATTGTTTTTAAATTCATACATCAACATTAGCATATTAGTCGGATTATCCTATTTTATATTAATAATAAGTAGATTAAATAACTCATGTTTTAGAAATAAAAAGTTATATCTAAATAATAAAATTTGTAAATTAATTTATTTAAACAAATTTATTAGTATAAATATAAAATATAAAATCAAGAAAATAAACAAAATGATTAAAAGGATTTAAGGGGGTATTTTTGTCTTTATGTAGATTAGTCCCATGATATTAAATTAATACCACCAAATGGAAGGTATTAGTTATACACCCTCTAATACCATGTAGGGTGTATAACTAATCCATAGATTGATCCAAAATTCCTACCAAACATAGAATTAAATAATACCACACTTAATACTTAGACTATTTTCCCTAATACTCCTTACCAAACGACCCCTAAACGTGTAATATCAATTATTTGATTCATGGCTGATAAGGAGTAATCAAGTGTGAATAAACTTTGTGAAAATTACAATTTAAGTTGGAGTTAAATAAATCAACTAAATTGGGACTTGCATGCAATGCTACTGAACCTGATGGAATATTGTATAGTAAATTTTGTCAAATTTATTAGGATATTATTAAGAATGATTTGCTATTAATGATTTTTGATTGCTTTGTTGTACATCAATATCCAAATCATTTATAAGGTTATATAAATTATAAACTTTAAATATCTTATCTATTAACTAATATCTCCTTACGTATCAAATTAATTTTATTGAAAAAAAATTGAAGGTTAACAATATTTTTTTTGACACATGGAGATATCCATGCATCAATCAAGCTTTATCATGAAAATATATATTGATATGAAATTTGACATGATAAAAGTATACGATAGAATAAATTGAGATTATATATATAACTTTTTCAAAATAAAATTTTCTAAAATATAAATAGATAATAAAATAGACAAAATCATTATCGATACGTGATATTTTATCAATTTAACTAAAAGAGCTTCTTCAAATCTACCAAAAGCATCAAATAGGGTGACCATTCTTTGTTGGTGTTGAGTTCAATTCTTGTCAAGATTGATCAACAATATGTTAGATGAAAACTTTATTCCTTAATTTGTTAATATTAGAGGCATATATAGGGTGCAACAATATAATATTTTACTTAATTATTGCCAACTATTGATTAAAATACCATATCAGCATAATAAGCTTATCTAATCACATATTTATCGTATTGCAAGCTTATCCAATTACAAATTTATCTAATAACAACAATTTTTTAAACGAATTAATATGAGGTGCAGTTTTGTTGAATAATTTTAAGCATAATTAATTTAGTTCCACGAGCTTATTCTTATGTATATATCTCCAGTTCATAGTTAATATTAGTGTAGAGTCATTTATTTATATTTTTCACTAACGTATATTTTCATATATTAACTTAAAAAGTTTTCCTTTGATAAATTAAAAAAGGTCAATTATCGACTTAAAAAATTATATCAATATGTCTAATAATTAAATTACTTATTAGTAAAATTATAGTAAATTGTCTTTATATTTATTAAAATGATGATTTTATTTGATATTTTAATTTTAACTTTCAAATTTGATATTATAACAAAATCAATTTTTACCAAAATAATTGCTTTCTATCCTTCTCTCCCACCCAATCTCCCTCTACTTAAAAATCAAAATGGTTCAATTGCACTTTTTTATTTTTCTTAAAGAATCATTAGAGTACATTAAATTAATATTAACAAATAAAAAGTCACAATCAAGATATTAAAGGGGTGAATAAATAATAAAATCTTTTTTAAAAGTAAGGTTTTTGAGTTTTTTTCTTTTTATAGGTTAGATCTATTTTTACATAATATGTGCCAAATAATATTCTTAATCAAAAATCTCAGATTCAAATTTTTAAAATAAAAAAAATCATGTTAAAGATATCATTTTTCTAAACTAAACCTTATCATGCATGAATCTAAATTTAGTTAAATATTAATACAAATAATACACCGAACTAAAAGTCAGTTATATAATCCTATATTACATGAGTTTAGTCAATTCAAGAATTTTCCACAAATTACAAGTGTTAGTCACTCTTTTTCTAGTCCAAATTATGACCTCTTTAGACTCTTTTTTTAAATCAAGATTACAAGATGCCCCAATTTAGCAACCAAAGTATTATATTTTATTAAAAAAAGTGAAATATATTTTTCTTCAGGTGGTTTAGGAGAAAAAAAATTAAAATAAATCAACTACTTTACCAAATAAATATACTAAATTATTAGTATTAATCCAAAATGCTCCCTAACCACTACATGTTAGCAAAAAATCTTGTTAATAATATAACTGTAAAATCTAGTGAATATATTCCAATGGGCAATTGTGTCATTTTCACCCCTAAAGAAAAGAAAATTACTAATATGGTCCCCAAAGTTTTATGGATAGAAATTTTCTAATCCAAAATTTCCCTATTTCCTCTCTCTCTCTTCAAAACTTGAACATACAGTAGTACAGATATTCCATCTTCTTTACCTTTTCTCTCTTGTTGGGTGTTTCCAAGATCTGATTTTTACTCAATTTCTCTCTCTAAAAATTGTATCTTTAGCATAGTTATCAACAGTTTTCAATCTTGACATTGTTGTATGTGCATTTCTAGATCATTGACAACTGTTGTTTGTTTGTAGAGCTTTTTCTATTAAGTGGAGTACTTTTATTTACAGCTATATCACAAATTTGTTGTCATATAGTGCCACACACAAACTCCTTTTTTCTACTCAATATTGGATCTTGAAAGCTGTACAAGGTTTTCCCATTCTTTTCCCCTTTCTGTCTGTTCCTGAGATTTGGGGTTTTGACTGCAAAATTGTTGGTGGGTGTTGTTTGAATCTGATCATTTGTGTTGTGGTTACTTTTGGGTGCTAGGTATAGTTTTTGATCTGCAAGTTGGAATTCAACTTGGTTGAGTTACTTTTTTGGATAAGATTCTTGACCTTTTTGCTTATTGCTAGCTGTTGTTTGTGGTTTTGATGCTTGCCACCTGAAGTATGCAGCCTGATCAGCGAAAAAAAGTAAGGGTATTTTCGAATTTGTCAGCTTGGCTACTAGTTGAAGCTATGAGTAGTATGGTAGAATCAGTTACAATACTAAACCTAGTTGTTACAACTATTTAGATTTGTTGTTCCCTTACTAAGTTGTAATGGTTTTTGATTGCGGGTTATTATTAGCTTTAGAAAATTACTTGATAACGCGATCTTCTGATTGACAACCAATTTAAATTTGGACAATCAGTTATCTGGTAAGTTATGTGGATACTCTATCCTCCCACGACTCCCCCTTGTAGGATCCCACTGTTTATGTTGTTGTTGTTGCTGTAGTTATATGGCTTAGGACATTTGGTTGGAGGATTGATATGTTGAGATTTGTATGATTTAGGAACCTAGTTAAGCAGTGACTGGATCTTCTTTGCAGGCTCTGATGTGTGGTGAGTTTAAGGCTAATTGACATATTAGACCTAATAAATGTTAGACTGTGGTATTTTGCAAGTTTAATTCTATGATCCAATTCTATTGAGAAACAGTTGTGGGGTGAATCAAATATTTCAACTTATACAGTTTTGATAAAAAAGAAATGATTGAATTCCTCATAGCCTGTGCAAGGTTGAAATAGCATAGATGCACAATTAAAAGCATTCCTATTAAGAAAGAACGCGTGTAGCAATTGAGTTATAGTAATAAGATCCATTTTGACAGGTCTTATAACTCATCTTATGAATTATAATATCAATGTGCAGGGGTCTGGAGATGTAGATTTCTTTACTGAATACGGTGAAGGGAGTCGATACAAGATAGAGGAAGTTATTGGCAAAGGTAGCTATGGTGTAGTATGCTCTGCGTATGATACCCATCTAGGGGAAAAAGTTGCAATCAAGAAGATAAATGACATCTTTGAACATGTCTCTGATGCCACACGTATTCTTCGTGAGATCAAGCTTCTTAGGCTTCTTCGGCATCCAGATATAGTGGAAATCAAGCATATATTGTTACCTCCTTCTCGGAGGGAATTCAAGGATATCTATGTTGTCTTTGAACTCATGGAATCTGATTTGCACCAAGTCATTAAAGCAAATGATGATCTGACGCCGGAACATTATCAATTTTTCCTTTATCAGCTTCTTCGAGGGCTGAAATATATACACACAGGTTGTATGCTGGCTAAAATTGTGCTTTAATTACTATGACTTTCTTCCACGAAGACCATATTTATGTATTTTGACATTAACATAGCCATATTAGCTGCAATGGTATGCTTCAATCCATGAAAGTTTCTCCAATTCTAACAATGCCTCTATGTTGGAATATTATGCAGCCAATGTCTTTCACCGTGACCTGAAACCCAAAAATATATTAGCAAATGCTGACTGCAAGCTTAAGATCTGTGACTTTGGTCTTGCAAGAGTGGCCTTCAATGATACTCCAACAGCTATATTTTGGACTGTATGCTTCTTAATGCTCTGCACAAAATTTATAACTTCGAAAATAGCTCTGTTTGAGATTAGAGGAACATGTAACATCTAATAACCTGGTTATTTGTTCCTGTAGGATTATGTTGCTACGAGGTGGTATAGGGCTCCTGAATTGTGTGGATCATTTTTCTCTAAGGTGTGAATATACACTTTTTTGCTTTAGATAGTTATTCTGATTTATTGGTGAATCAGCTATAATTTCTTCATTTTATTATGATAACAGCACATTCTAAGATCAGTTTATTGTGATTTGTCCTCAGTATACACCAGCAATTGATATATGGAGCATTGGATGTATATTTGCAGAACTACTGACTGGGAAGCCTCTCTTTCCAGGTAAAAATGTGGTTCACCAATTAGACTTGATGACCGATCTGTTGGGCACACCCTCCCCAGAATCCATTGCCAGGGTAAGTCCCTATTTCCCCCCTGGAATACAAGATGTTATACGGTGATAGTTTTGTGGCTAATATATGGTTGCTTATGTGCCTATAGATAAGAAATGAAAAGGCTCGGAGGTATTTGAGCAGTATGCGTAAGAAAAAGCCTGTACCTTTCTCCCATAAATTTCCACATGCAGATCCCCTTGCACTTCGTTTGCTAGAAAGGATGCTTGCTTTTGATCCCAAGGATCGTCCTAATGCAGAAGAGGTACAAATACTTTGTCTATCTGTTTCCACAAAGTAGTATTATTTGTGACTCCAGCTCCTAACTGGGCTTTTTTCCTTGTTCAAAATTCAGGCTCTTGCAGATCCATATTTCAGGAATCTAGCCAAAGTGGAAAGAGAACCCTCTGCTCAACCAGTTACAAAAATGGAATTTGAGTTTGAAAGGCGAAGGATAACAAAGGAGGATGTGAGGGAGCTGATATACAGAGAAATTCTTGAATACCACCCAAAAATGTTGAAGGAGTTCTTAGAGGGGCAAGAACCTACAGGTTTCATGTACCCAAGGTACATTTGTCTCAAACTAAGTTTTCTTCTTGTCTTTGAACCCGTGTATTGCATGGCTTTCTCCGCATCCATACCTCTTATTTGCATGTGCGCGTCAATGTGTTCATAGCACGTCTGTATAATATCAAAAATTAATTAATCAATGTAGTTCTGGGGTAAATTGCTTTACGTATTGTGAATCAGGGAAGACTTCCTTTTTAGTTTATCCTCCTTGGGGTAGTTCAGAGTTCAAAGGAACACTTTAACTTCATTTCCATGTTAGTCAAACTTTGAGAACTCTTTTAATGTTGGATTAATGGGAGTGGTTCTGGTGTTGTTTTCTTTCACATAGAAATGGGTAAATCTAGACTTCTTATACTCTAGGAAGGTCTTGGAATGAAACCAGCCCATTCGATATGACAGTATGCTTATTATTTTATATTGAAGGTAATTCATGTGGATCTCTGAACTTCCCATACATGGATGTGGTAGTATCTTGGTCAACCCTCATTTTGCCAATCACATAAATTATGATTCATCTTCCTGATAAAGAAAATAGCATGGTTCATCCGACATTGCTTGAGAAAGATGTAGCCAACTTTAGAAGCTTATAAGTTATAAACGGAGGGGAAATATTGCACTTTGACTCAAGTTTTTCTCATTATCTCAAGAAGTTAAACTTCATACTATCATACTGTACTTGGTTCTCTCCCTGGTCAGTCATGCCAGACTTATTATTAAAAATATGTTGTGTTATCAAGCCTCACTCAGACTGCTTTTAACCCGCTAGAGAACTTTTCTCTAAAGAGAAATCATTGATCACTTGGTCCTATATTATCACTTGGTCCTATATTATAATAAGCTCATTATTACTTGGAAAAATCTCATTATAGAGTGCTATTTACTGTTGTTCCTTTAAAGAAAGTAGAAATTTAATTTGGTTTCATCGCGCTTTACTGGAGCCAAAAAGGATTTACTTATAGTTTCTTGTGTCACTCCCCAGTGCCGTTGACAAATTCAAGAAGCAGTTTGCATATCTTGAAGAGCATTATGGCAAAGGAGGCGCTGCTGCTCCACCTGAGAGGCAGCACTCATCATCTCTACCTAGGTTAGTCCCTGGCAGTCATGCTGGTTGATCAAATCCTTTTTTCCTTTGACCATTTTTTATTGTTTTCGTAGTTTTTCTAATAAAAGGAATTCCTGCAAGTTTTGGCTATCAGACATTTCTCAATTATTGCACAACTTTAGCCACTGATAAATTTTAGATACAGGGCTTGTGTATTATACTCAGACAATTCAGTGCAAAATCCACTTGAAGTTGCAAATGATCTTTCTAAGTGCTCCATCAAAGAAGATGAGAAACCACAAGCGGACCGGAGTTCAATGATCCCCATGACAAGGCTGCCTCTCCAAGTTCCTCAGAATGTTCAAGGTTTGATTTCACTAGTTTGTTAACACTTCTAGTAGGGTCCAACATTTGATCTTTTTCATATTTTAAATGCTGGAAATATGTTTTCTGATAGGAGTAGTAATGTTTCTCCTTTGATTGTTGCCATCAATATTCAAATTGTTTTATTTTTCTGAGAGTAGTATTCAGTCTTCTTCTTTTGATCGTCGCCAGCTATAAACAAATGAGTAGCATTCCCTTTTTCATATTGATGATGTTGTATGCACTCATGATTATTTTCTTCCATCTGCATTATATGGAAAGATATATTGGGATGCTGCAGTTTCCTTGCGAATTTGTTAATGAATTAGCACATGCAATGATTTGTTGGATATCTACATGTGTAAAACCTGAAAAAGAAATGTTAAAATTTCTGTCTTGCCAAATTGTGAACAGAGAAGTAGTGTTCCCCGTCTCAGGTGATAAGTTTTCCATTTGGAATGATCCAAAATTTTGGCAATACTAGTATTTATGAACCTTTCTCATGCTGCTTAACTGTGTACTTGTATATATATATTAATGTTTTCTCCTACTCCAAAAATGTACAATTGAATCACTTGGAGTAGTCCTATTTGTTAGTTAACAACGTGTAAATATTAGTAATTTCATGGAATTAACATTGTTTCAAGGACTGAGTTGTCTTAGATGTTGGATATAATTTTTATACTGTTTGAAAAAGATACGGTTGAAGTATTAGATACTTCTGAAGTGTGAATTGTTAAGCACATTATATTTAGGGGGTTGTCAGATGTTTGAGGTGATTAAAGTGTAAGTTTCCTAGGCAAAATATTTAAAGATTTTTTGACTTCTGCCAACTCATCTTTTATTTTTAATTGAAAATAAAGTCGAGATGTTGGTGTCCGCAGACATTTTTATCATGAAAGACTTAGTTATTGGTTTATACATTTGCTTCTAAGTTTCTAGTCAGTGCATTTGCATGAAACACGGAATGTGAGTGTTAGTAGGGAACTAGGGATTTCTAATCGGACAGACTGATAATTAATGATTCGGGTGTGTTTGGTATGAAGGAAAATGATTTCCTTGGAAAATAGGTCTCTATCTTATTTTCGAGTATTTGGTAAGTAAGCAAAAAATATTATCCAAGAGCATTTATATGTTGTCTAGCGAAATGTTACGGAGGCGGCTAAGAATGAGGGGGGGGGGCTAGGGTGGTGGTGGGATGGTCAACGGTTCGGTTGGGTTGGGTTGGGTGGGTGGGGAGGAGCAATAAACTTGGAACGTCATTTATCCAACTTGTTCTCCCTACTTCCATTAGGGAAGTCATTTTCCTCATTTTTTAGGAGCTTGTTTTCCGAACATTATGATCAACCAAACATAGGAAAATTGGATGACATTTTCCTCCATACAAACACACCAAAGAGTTGGTAAGTCTGCTGACCTTCTCTTCTGTGATGAGGAAAAGAGAATTTTATGAAAAAATAGCAACAAAGAGGTGCAGAAAGTGACTGCATCAGGATTTACAAAATGCATCAAGACACCTTGGGGGGGGGGGAGGAGGGGGGAGGGAAGAGAAATGTCTTAAATCATGATTAATAGAATGCAGTCATTAAAAAAGAAAAATGTCTCTTATATATAAGGAGTCCATGATTTTAACAGGTCTCCCATCACACTGCTCATACTTCTGTTATTGAGGCATTCTTTCTTTTTTAAAGACCGGGTTCTCTTTTTTTTTTGTTTCTTTATATTATTTTTTCAGTAAATAAAGGAATTTTACTAAAAGGATCAGCACTAAGTTGGTGATGTTTATGACTTTATGGACATCTAGAAAGCAAAAGTATAAACTAATAGAGTAAACAGTTTACAAAGCTCTAATATACTTGCATATTGTACACCCTATAAGGTACTGTTACTGTCTAAGTGAACCCGTCTCCGTGTATTTTCCCCCGTATCAGTGCACCACTCTTTTTGTAGCTTATTCTGAATTAACTCTTTGAAGTGTCACTAAGGATGAAATCAGTAGCAATGGTGAGAAATTCTACGTCAAGTCCTGTTCTTCTCTAGCTCATTATTATCGTTATTATTATTATTAATATAAAACAGATGTAGATAGAACTGATACATGATGGCTTTGTGTGCTCACACCCTACAGAAGAGATACATTGCTTAGGCGATAATAGGCTGCTTTAGTACTTAGTGCCTTTGCTATGTTATTAAGAGGAGAATTTTTCAGCAGGTGGTGCTGCAAGACCTGGGAGGGTGGTCAGCTCAGTGTTGCGCTACAACAACTGTGGAGCAGCAGCTACAGCAGCAGAAGTCATTGAACAGCGAAGAATTGCAAGGAACCCTGGCGGTCCAACTCAATATCCCATTTCCAATACTTCATACCCTAGAAGACATCCCAGCTGTAAAAATGAAAGGGGTGAAGATAGTACTGAAGTTTCAAATGGGGTGCAGCCTAAACCTGAACAGTACATAGCAAGAAAAGTAGCTGCAGCACCAGGTGGACCTGGTAATCAATGGTATTAATTTTGGAATCTCTGATCAGCCATGTTACACAGCGAGAAAAGTAGCTGAAGGATGGTTCTCATAAAACACACCATATGCAAGCTAATTTGACTGTCAACCGTAATTTTCTCACACAATGCCAAGTTCAGGATTGCTTGGTTATTGACACGGGCACATGAACTTGAAGAATCCCAGTGTGATTTTGGTTGGTTTTGTTCAGACATCTATGTACAACTCGTTACTTATATTTGTCCTCTGAAGTTTAAAAGGTTCGGCATGGATTCTCCTCCATGGGCAACTCTTGTTCTGTGATCTGGATAGAAATGGAAGCAAGTGCGATAAAGATGGATGTTGGTAGCTGATTACATGAATTACTACTGATATCAGTTCACCCCTACATGTTTGTTCTTTTCCCCTCTCCCTTCATTCTTTGCAGAATAACTGTAGAGGCTTTATACTTTTGTTAATGACTCAGACATTGATGATCTTAACGTGTAACCTATGACATTCTTTATTAAATAAGGACCTCAATGTTTCTGATGTTCCTGCACTCTGTAAAGCAGAAGAGGGACATGAAACTTTTGCTTGACGCCTAACTGATTCTGCTACCCATCTCTGGAACATGGCTTTTTTTGTGGATCCATCTTTTCAAGCCATTGTTTAGTTGAATCAATATGTGTTGCTCTTTTTTTAGTCAGCCAAAACTTTTGAATTTATATAGGATGGGCAGATTCGAACAAGTGCAAGTGAAATTAGGACTAAAATAAGAGTAGGAACACAATAAATGCTTGTAAAGTAGCAGCAGCAGCAGTAACAACACAGTAATCTGTAATGAATATCAGATCCTTAAAGCATAACATACAAAACCATTTGGAATATCGAACTTCAGATATACAACTCCATCCTTCTCTTGCTTCCTTTTGCTTATGATCATCAGTATTATACTCTATCATGGTCGTCTTCTTCTTCATCGCCATTCATTAAGAATCAAGTTGTCGTTTGATTTACCTTTCTTGTGTCCATTATCATTTTCAATATTTACAGTTTTTGTTAGTAAGATTCATATCTATCTACACACTTTCACTCTTGAGTGAAATGATGGCCAAAGTCATATCAGACATTCATAGAGAATTACAGCAATTTTAGCAAGGAGAGGCTACCAAATGCTGAACCAACAGCCATACAATATTTTATCCAGAAAAAAAAAAGTAGCCTTTGGAAGTAAATATCCCACACTGGATAAAGAAGAGAGCTGTGGGGTTGTTGGCTTGAATAAATAATATGGGCTGTGACTTTAAAAAATTATGATCCTTCAGGCAAGTTTAAATGGGATGTGATGAGTGGTCATTACTCGCAATAAATATGCGAGAAGAGCGTTCCAGCCCAGCCTGGTTACGACAAAATGGGCGCTCTTATTATTACCAATCTGATCCCTGTACTTGAATCCCCTCCCCCCAACCAAATATTCCCTCCCAAATAATTATTTTTTTGTTTCAAAGTATTAATTCTGTATTCTTATTTTTTCTTTGTTTTGTTTTCTTTTCATTATAATCTTCTTCTCTACTTCTCTTTCACTAGTAATTTTCTAAAATAGATTTTTATTATGTTAAGAAAAGACATTAATCTTTTTTCATGTTTTATCTTCAAGTATTTAATGTTGAGCGCAAAAAACATAGAAAAAAATTTATTATCTTTTATTGATATGTTAAAATGATGAGTAAAATTTATTTTAGAAATAAGTGATAAGTAAAAGTGAACAAAAAGAATATCTTTAAAATCATTTTATCAAGACATGCTTAGTCGGAAACAATATATGGTAAAATACCTTATCAATAATAATTTTTTTAATGAATGTCAAATCAGAGTAAAACAAGTAAAAATGAATAGAGGAAATATCATTTTAAGCCCACCTCTCTTAATATACACAGTAATTCTAGGCATATTACAAGCCCTATTTTTTTCTATGAATCAAGTGTGCTAAATTACACATCAATAGCCCTCTACTACTCATTCCACTAAGGGCTCGTTTGCTGTGAGGGATTAAAAATAATAGTGATGGAATTAAAAAGTTTTATGTTATTTGATTGTCAAGGTTTGGAATAACTTATCCCACCATTTATATATCATAATGATGAGATAAGTTATTTCATATAACATGGTTAGATATTGGATAAGTTATGCCAGAATAGCTAACTTCAGAATAAGTTATCGTGAGCTAATTTGTTTTCAACCAAACGCCCCTAAATTCCATAAAGCTCATTAAATCATTTTCTTCTGTCTACTAATATTAATAAACAGGGATAGTTGCATTGCAAACTTAATAAGTGTTTGTAATGTACAAGTAGTTACTCCCACAATTCCCTAAAGAACTAGTTTCAACTTTTAAGAAACTCAAAGTAATAAAATTAGAAAAGAAAGGGAAAAAGGTAACTTATAGGGTAGGATGATGAAATGAATAAAATTTAGGGAACATTAGCGATTAAGTTATAATATCTAACATAATTATTCAAAATAACAACACTTTAAAATATTTATTTAAAATGTCTGGATGACAGTATTTTAGAAAATAATGTGTATTCAAATTTTATCATTTAAAATTATTTTTATTTATGAAACAAGTCCTCGGAAAAAATTATAAATCAATAGAAAAAAAAACAATACCCATTAACCTTCCTTTACCTCTCACGTTTTTACCCCACCTTTCACGTTTTCAGATTATCTCTCTCCAACGTGCTCACAAATTGTTCATCAAAATATATATTTTAATTCAAGAAATTTTCTTGATTGTTAAACGAATTTTTTTTATAATTCAAGAGACTTCTCTCGATTGGCAAGGTAATTTCCATTATTTCAAATTTTGTTTATGGGGTTACTAATGCACAAGTAAATACGGGTTCAGATCCGATTTTGATGAAAATAATCGAAAAAAAGAACATAGCCGGAGAAGGAGAAGAAGAAGGAGGTTGCAAAATTGTATTCATACCAAAATTATATTCATATTAATTATTGTTTGTCAATTGTTATTATTTTACTCATCATTTGTATTTTTATTTTAAATCATTATATTTCTTTTTTAGTTTTTAGTCATTCAAATAGGTAAATATTGTATTTATACATAATTTATAGAACTGTGACGAATATATTATAAGAAGGGAAATAGAAACTTATTGGTATTCATTTTTTCGTTTGAAATACAAATCATACTAATATTTGAAATACATTTTAGTAAGAGATGTTTTGTATTTTATTTGGCTAAAAGCAATATAACTTTTATGAATACATGATGTATAAAATTACTACGAATACATCACAAGAAGGGAAATATAAAATTATTGGTATTCATTTTGCATTTGATATACAAAATGATATTGAAACATGACCTGATATTTAAAATAAAAACTGAGCTAGAAAATACTTTATGCAAATTTAAAGTGGAATAATAATATAAAAAAATTGGATATTGAAATATAAATATAATTTATTTTGAATACAACTTATTCTATGTATTGTGTATTCATCGCAATTGTATTCTTCTATGGAACTAAATATCCCACACTGGATAATGAATAGAGTTGTGGGGTTGGTGGCTTAATAAATAATGTAGGCTGTGGGTTTTAGAAATTATGATCCTTCAGGCAAGTTTTAATGGATGTGATGAGTGGTCATAACTCGCAATAAAAATGCGAGAAGAGCGTTCCAGCCCAGCCTGGTTACGACAATTTGGGCGCTCTTAATTTTACCAATCTGATCCTTGTGCTTGAAATCCCCCGCACCCCATCCCCATACATCCCTCCCAAACCTTTTTTTTTTCTTTCAAGCATTTGTTTTCTTTCCATTATAATCTTCAATATTATGGCATTGCTTGTTACCTCCGTTCACTTTTATTTATTATTTCTAAAATTATATTTAAAAAAGACATTAACTTCAAGTATTTAATGTTGAGAGTAAAATATGGAAAAAAATTTATTGTCTTTTTTTGTTGACATGTCAAAATGATGGGTAAAAAGAGTATTTTTCAAATCTTTTCAACAAGGCATCTTTTAATAATAGTATATGATTAAGTACATTATCAATAATTAAAATGTGACATATAAAAATGACAGAGGGAGACTTTTTTTTTTCCCCTATAAATCAAATGTGCTTAATTCCACATCAGTAGCCCTCTACTACTTATTCCACTAAATTCATAAAGTTCATTGAATCATTTTCTTCTGTCTATTAATATTAATAAACAGGGACAGTTGCATTGCAAACTTATGAAGTGTTTGTGATGTACAAGTAGTTACTCCCACAATTCCATTTAAAAAACTTTTAAGAAACTCAAAGTAATAAAATTAGAAAAGATAGTTCTTATATTGTCGGCTGATGAAATGGATAAAATTTATGGTCCTTGGTTCGATTCAATACATTTTAAATGAGTCAATCATTTGAAAATAAATTAAATATAGAAGTACCCACCAGTGAGAAACCTCTAAAAAAAATACATCTATTGAATGTGTATTTAGTATGAAAAAAAAAATATATGTTTTCATTCATTTTCAGACTCATTTTTGGTCTGCCTGTTTGCCATGGGTTTGTGAACAAAATGTAAACCAGAAATCATATCATCAAATTCAATCATACATGAAAACCAGGATATGACACGAAAAGTCGAACCAGTCAGCCGGATAGGCGCTTTAACTTGACAAGATTAAAATCTTCAGTATACAAAGGGAAAGAAAGAAAGAAATCACACTATAGCAGAATCAACAGGTGTTTGGACCAACCAAGCACCACTGTTGAGATACAATCCTAAAAAGAGAATTGGTTGAGCACCTACTACATCACAACATATTGTAGGCACATCCTCATCCACCCTCTAAGGTTAAAGATCATTTACTCAGAAACAGAACAGTATGAGAGACCGACAATCCGATAGCATTTCTGGACTATATGCACCTTATAATCAATTTACTTTACCAATTGGGGCTGCTAAAGAATGATAGCAACTTCATTATAAATTCTAAGTGGCTTGCGCTCAATATATCCTTTGCTTCACTCTTCTTCCATTCACGTCAGTGCCATCCAGAATGTGCCCACCATGTACATAAGAAATGATTGCATGTTCATTCATCCCAGCAACATACTTAAGCAATTCCGTGATGACAGAAGGGCAACTCTCCTTCAAGTGATCAAATCCCTCAGATTGCATCACAGCTGATAACAAAAAAGAAAAAGAAAAAAGAAACAGATTCAATGGCCACATTGAGTTCATCTGGTTGCATTAAAGCTTAAACAAATTGAAAACCAGTCAGACTATTTAACAGGAAATAAAATTGAAGTGCAAACAAATGATATGTCCAGTTGCAGAAAAAATGAAAAACCCAATGCTGCAAACTAAAATAGGACTACACTTTGAAGATTAAGAGATACTATCAAGCATAAGTTCACCGATAGATGAGTACAATCTCCAGTAGAGGAAAAATTTGGGAATGCTTTGCTTGATGGCTTAGTGGACAAAATGACTGAATAATTGGTGGTTCAATAATATAAGTGATGAAAGAAAAGTTCTCCAATTAATAGGCGTGCAGTACTTTACCTTTCAAATTTTCAGGCAACGCGATGAACTTAAGACACACAGATTTTAGTTGGACACAGTGATGCTGATCTGCCAAGGCTAAAGTTGTAGCAACAGTGTTAATTGTAACATCCTCACAAAGTTTAGCCTCACAAAGTGCTCTCAATCTCTCAAGACCATACTGGTCAGCTGCCGCAAGCAGATGCTGAGCCATTAAAGCAACTGCCCATTTTGTATCGAGACCCACAAGCTCTTGTAAATCAGGGAGAGAATCCCAATAGATGAAGTGGAGCAACGCCTGAAAAGAGAAAAAAAACAAAAAGATAAGTTCTATCAGATGCCAAGATGCTTTTTAAATTATTTATCACAGATGCCAAGTTCATATGTTCAAACTTGGGAAATATCAAGTGTAATAGTGAGAGAGCTATTTGATGACATAATCAGCAGAGAGATCTGAATGCTAGTAAAATGAGGAAACAGTACAAAGTAAAGCATAACATAGCATAAAAAAAAAAGAAGTAATAAGCCTGATGGACTCTCTAGAGGACAAACAATAGGAAGATAGAAATCATATTGCAGGCCAACATAGAAATCTCTAGGAAATATAACAAGAGAAACAACTTTAGAGTCGAACCCCCCCACCCCCCAAAAAAAAAATAGTCTCAAATGATATTTTAATCCTAAAAAGTAATATGACATACTTTCCTTTTTAGTCCGTCCTAGAAAGAACCGACACATTTCTATATTAAGTAACAATTTAACTAAAAGTGTATATTTTACCCTTAATGAAATGATCTACAACCACAACTTTTGCATCACATTTTGGACCACAAATTTTAAAAGTCTTTCTTTCTTCCTTAAACTGTGTGCTGATCAA